CGGTCATCGCTCCTTTTCTTTGTCAGCTCTGTTAACGGTGCAGCAATTTCACTAAATCTGGGGATAAATTTTCTATAGTGTCCCACCAGACCTAGGAAGGATCTTATTTTCTTCTTAGTACTGGGTCTGGGCCACTGGAGTATTGCTTCTACCTTGGCCTCTAGGGGTTTGATTATGCCTACCCCAACCATATGACCCAAGTATTTCACCTCGGGGCTTTTTAGTTGACATTTACTGGCTTTTACAGTTAACCCAGCGTCTTTCAACTTCTGCAATACTATTTCCAAGTGACATAGGTGATCCTGCCAGGTGTTGCTAAAGATCCCTATATCATTGATACATGCCACAGTAAATGCACTGAGCCCTTGCAGAGTCTTGTCCATTAGCCTTTGAAATGTAGCTGGTGAATTTCGAAGGCCAAAACTGAGGACCCGAAATTCATACAAGCTGAAAGGGCTACAGAATATGTTTTTTTCTTGGTCCCTAGGGTCTATTCTTACTTGCCAGAACCATTTAGTTAGGTCCAAACAGGAAATGAATTTGCAACCCCCAACAGTTTCAATCAGGTTGTCAAGCCTGGGCATGGGATAAGCACCTTAGTCTTGTCACTGTTATAGCTCTGTTTCTGGCACACATCAACTTTCTGACAGAAATTTCTAATTTTTTTTCCTATTCCAAGCCAGTAAAAGTTCTGGGTTATTCTCTGTTTGGTTTTATTTATACCTAAATGTGCAGCGAATATGTCTGAATGTCCCCTTTTCAAAATCATTGAACAGTATTTAGCTGGTAGAATTAACTGGCTTCTAATCTCATGTTCCCCTTTTGAAATATTCATCCGTGTTTCTCTGGATGGCAAGCCATGTTTGATCAGGAAACGTTCAGGAAATTCAGAGGATAACTCTCTACTAGCCACTTTATCAAAACAGCCTTTTAAAGTGGGGTCTGCTAGCTGCTCTTGGTAAAATATACTTTTCTGAGGCATTTCTAGAGAAAATGCCTCAGCTTGGGGTATATTTTCATCTCTCTCTTGAAAGTCAGTAACGTTTCCAGCTGCCTCAGTTTGTTCTGGTTGTGATCGTGTAATCACTAGTGCACTCTTAACATGTTTTGAGAGGTCTGTGCCTATAAGTACTGCTGCAGGAATTTGCGATGAAACTCCAACGCGCCAATTTTCTTGCCATCCTTGATAACGAATTAAAACTTCTGCTACAGGCAAAATCACTACCTCCTTCCCAATCCCTTTGATTGTCATATGCTGATTAGGAATAAAGTATTTCTGAGGTACTATATCAGAGTGACAAATTATAACCTGGGAGCAAGTGTCTCTTAAAGCTAAATGGTTGTGTTCAAATATTCTTATATTGTCACCAGCTGATTCAAATAATTGGGAATCAATTCTTATATATAGACAGTGTCTTATTTCAGCAATAGGAATATTATCATCATAACTTGAGATCTTGCCACTAAAAGTATCAATTTTAGAGAGCTCTGCTGCCTCTGCTGTCATTTCCATGACAACAGGCTCTTCTCTAGGGGGAGCCATTTGACTATTCTGAATACAGTAAACAGACTTAGCTTTGTTTAAATTCATTTTCTGAGGTAAATTTCTTTATTTTCTTTTGTTTTAGTACACTGGGAGCAATATGGTCCCTCTCTTGGCAGTTGAAACAAATTCTTTCTCCCCATGAGCTTTTTCCAGCTAATTTTTCTTTTCCCTCCAAAATCTGGCTCTTGGCTTGGCCCTGTTCTGAAGGCTTTCCCCAAAATGGCCACCCACTTTCTGCTGGCTCTTAACTTGCCCTTGGGAATATTTAGGGTAGTCCTCCCATGTTTTCCTCATGTTTTTTTCCTCAGAATACAAAGGCTTTCTTATTTGTGAAATGAAATCTGCAATCTCAGCTGCTTGTTTAACGTCTGAAGGTCTCTTCTCTTGGACCAGATATTTAATTTCACCATGGAGTAAGGAATAGAACTGTTCCAATCCTATAATATTTTTAAATTGTTACATTGTCTGTACACCCTCCTGCACTAAGCACTTGTCCAAACATTTGGCTAAATTGAAATGAAGCTGTGTTTAAGGCTCATCTAATTTCTTTGACAGAGTTCTGAATTTCTGTCTCAGGTGTTCTGCATTTATGCCAAACCTAGCAAATACCATCTTTTAAAGCTCTGAATAATTGTTTATCATTCCGATTGGCATATCGGTGTAGACTTCAGCCAAAGACCCACTGGTTTGAGATCTTAAAATTATCATTTTCTCTGACTCTCTGACAGAGAAATCTGCACATGCTCTTTCAAAAAGAGTTAGGAATGCTTCTGGGTAATCTCCCTGTTTATAAGAAGGGAATTTCTTTAAATCTGTTTTTGACAACTGCCCTTCTTCAGAGTTAGAATTTCTGTTGTTGTTGTTGTTGTTGTTGTTGTTATTGTTCTGGTTCATTAATTCCAGCCTCCTAATCTCAAAAGACATACGCTCTTTCTCCACAGCAATTTTCTCCCTTTCCATTTCAGCCTCCCTGTCCATTTATTTTTTCTCAAGTTCAATTTGTCTCATTCTCTCCTCCTTTTCCAGGGCAATTTTCTCCTTTTCTAATCTTTCCTCTTTTTCTAATTGCCTCATTCTGAATTCATGTGCTTGTGCCAGCTCAAATTTTCTTAGGTCTGTTAAATGTTCACCATTAAACTCATCACCTGAACTGTCAGCCATCTCTGCAGATTTCAGTTCAATTTCAGATTTCTTATTGCGAATTAAGGGCATTTTATTCACAAAAAAGACTCTTTCCTATTTTCAAGCCTCTGTTTAAAATCACTATTTTTCCTTACTGTGCTATGGCCTGTGATATTTAGTTGCAGTGTACACCAGCTGCTCTAGCTGTGTGCTTGTAGCTGTAACTACACTTCTTCGGTGTCTCCTGCCTCTTACACTGGGCCCCTTGCCAAACTAAGGATACTTTATAATTCTGCCTTTGGCACAACTCCAAATTTTAATACAGCTCTACCCACACTTAGGTTCTGCTGTTTAAAAATGGAGATCCCTCAGCTTTGCTGCCCTTGGTCTTAGCAACAGCTTCTATTACTTCTAGATGTTGTAGCATGAAGTTCCAATTGATGTTGTCGAAAGCTTTCTCGGCGTCAAGGAAGATCACAGCCATTTGTTTTTCCGTATGTGTTTCATAGTATTCTAAGGTGTTTAATATTATTCTTATATTGTTTCTCAACAGTCTTTTTGGTAAAAAAAAACCCGATTGGTCTTAGTGCATTATTTGGATGAAGATTTTTTTCAATCTGGTTGCCAATATTGTTGCGTATATTTTATAATCTAAATTTAGAAGTGTGTCAGCCTCCTCACACGACACAAAGGAGCTGCCACGTCACTCTCTCACACACACTTTAATCACGCTGCCACCAACCATTCCTTCAACTGAGACTTCAGGCAAATGTATGATTTTTAAAATAAAAACTTATGGTTATTGATAATAACAAAAGGAATGGTAAATCACTGTATTAATTAAAATAATAAGCTAATCAATATAAAGTATCACACACGCACACACTCTCTCACAGACCCTCAATATATATATATATAGCACAGTACTACACAACAGGTACAAGCCCTACTCCTATCAACCCTATCCAGACCCTAACCAGTCCCTGTCTGACTCACACCTCATTCACTCCCCCTTAAATACCTTAGCTCCACCCTCTTAAGTCCCACCTCCCGTCACGCTATTGGCAGATGACATACAGCCACAGCTATGACAGGCAGATGATGACACCGCTACTGTAACAGTGGGAATCTAGGATTAGAAGCTTTGTCCATTTCCGCACCTTCTAAGTTTCACTCAGCCTACGGTCCAAAGGCTGGTGAAACTAGGAACTCACGTTGGCTCCTTCCCCTAGTGGTATAGCACCTTTAACAGGGTGGGAGTGGTGGAATCATTTTAGCACTTAATCTTGTTGAGTTTTAGTTTTTTGTGAAGTTTTTAGAACTTACCACAGGTTCCATCCAAAGCGGCATATGGAAGGGGATATAATTGCATTTTGGACGGCAGCTGTTCTTAAGGTTAATGAGCTCAGTGGAAACTTTCCCCCTGTGTTATTTTTGCTTAGCTAGGCAGGGCAGCAAAGATGATTAGGAATGAAGAGGACATTCCTGATATCCCGTCATGCAACCCCGAGACCCCTTGCCATGGTGTCAAATCATTTGACTTTAAAGGGGGCTGTCAGTCATTCAAGTAGATGTTGTATCATGAAAGGATTGGTACACTCCTGGAGAAGAACGACCCCAGCAGTGTACAAAGAGACATGGCGGGCCCAGCTAGCCTATGGGGTGTGGGAGAGTTTATGTGCTGCACCTCTAATTCTGCACACATGAATTTCACCGGTGGGGCCCGAATTAATTGGGCCCATCTTTAGGAAAGAGTTCTATTATGTCTATCCCCTGAGGCTTCTTTTCCCACTGATAAATATGCTCGATTCTTTCAGTCTTTCTCTGTCGGCTTTCAGTTGTCAAGATGTTTGCAAAATGTCTGCTTTGTAATCTCCTCCAGAATTTTCCATTAGATGGATGTCAAGCTGACAGGGAAGAAGGGAAGCTAGAAAACAAGAGGGAAACAGAAATCTCCGGATTCTCCTGTTATTGATGTTGGTGCACTTCTGATCATCTGAAAAAATCAACAGGGAAAAAGGAAGGACAAAAGGTACCCCGGGGAGGTAAACATTCAAGGGTGCCTCAGATGACAATAGACTTCACAAAGTCCACCCAGAGGAGAAACAAAGTGAACGCATTGAACAAGGAAAGAGCATCACAATGCAGAGTGATTGTACTTCACGTGAAACATCCCCGAGGGGTGAGAGACAGTACAAATGCCTACAGTGTGGAAAGAGCTTCAGTCACAGCAGTAACTTAAGTTCACATGAAAGAATTCACACTGGGGAGAAACCATATAAATGCATGGAATGTGGAAAGAGTTTCACTCAGAGCAGTACGTTAAGTACACATCAAAGAGCTCACACTGGGGAGAAACCATATAAATGCATGGAATGTGGAAAGAGCTTCAGTCACAGCAGTAACTTAAGTTCACATGAAAGAATTCACACTGGGGAGAAACCATATAAATGTATGGTATGTGGAAAGAGTTTCCGTCAGAGCGGTACTCTGAGTTTCCATCAAAGAACTCACACTGGGGAGAAACCTTATAAATGCATGGAATGTGGAAAGAGCTTCAGTCACAGCAGTAACTTAAGTTCACATGAAAGAATTCACACTGGGGAGAAACCATATAAATGTATGGTATGTGGAAAGAGTTTCCGTCAGAGCGGTACTCTGAGTTTCCATCAAAGAACTCACACTGGGGAGAAACCTTATAAATGCATGGAATGTGGAAAGAGCTTCAGTCACAGCAGTAACTTAAGTTCACATGAAAGAATTCACACTGGGGAGAAACCATATAAATGTATGGTATGTGGAAAGAGTTTCCGTCAGAGCGGTACTCTGAGTTTCCATCAAAGAACTCACACTGGGGAGAAACCTTATAAATGCATGGAATGTGGAAAGAGCTTCAGTCACAGCAGTAACTTAAGTTCACATGAAAGAATTCACACTGGGGAGAAACCATATAAATGTATGGTATGTGGAAAGAGTTTCCGTCAGAGCGGTACTCTGAGTTTCCATCAAAGAACTCACACTGGGGAGAAACCTTATAAATGCATGGAATGTGGAAAGAGCTTCAGTCACAGCAGTAACTTAAGTTCACATGAAAGAATTCACACTGGGGAGAAACCATATAAATGTATGGTATGTGGAAAGAGTTTCCGTCAGAGCGGTACTCTGAGTTTCCATCAAAGAACTCACACTGGGGAGAAACCTTATAAATGCATGGAATGTGGAAAGAGCTTCAGTCACAGCAGTAACTTAAGTTCACATGAAAGAATTCACACTGGGGAGAAACCATATAAATGTATGGTATGTGGAAAGAGTTTCCGTCAGAGCGGTACTCTGAGTTTCCATCAAAGAACTCACACTGGGGAGAAACCTTATAAATGCATGGAATGTGGAAAGAGCTTCAGTCACAGCAGTAACTTAAGTTCACATGAAAGAATTCACACTGGGGAGAAACCATATAAATGTATGGTATGTGGAAAGAGTTTCCGTCAGAGCGGTACTCTGAGTTTCCATCAAAGAACTCACACTGGGGAGAAACCTTATAAATGCATGGAATGTGGAAAGAGCTTCAGTCACAGCAGTAACTTAAGTTCACATGAAAGAATTCACACTGGGGAGAAACCATATAAATGTATGGTATGTGGAAAGAGTTTCCGTCAGAGCGGTACTCTGAGTTTCCATCAAAGAACTCACACTGGGGAGAAACCTTATAAATGCATGGAATGTGGAAAGAGCTTCAGTCACAGCAGTAACTTAAGTTCACATGAAAGAATTCACACTGGGGAGAAACCATATAAATGTATGGTATGTGGAAAGAGTTTCCGTCAGAGCGGTACTCTGAGTTTCCATCAAAGAACTCACACTGGGGAGAAACCTTATAAATGCATGGAATGTGGAAAGAGCTTCAGTCACAGCAGTAACTTAAGTTCACATGAAAGAATTCACACTGGGGAGAAACCATATAAATGTATGGTATGTGGAAAGAGTTTCAGTCAGAGCAGTATCCTTAGGTCACATCAAAAAATTCACAGTGGGGGGAGACCATATAAATACATTGAATGTGGAAAGAGCTTCAATCAGAACTGTTCCCTGACTTCACAAGAACTCATAGTGAGCCTTAAATTCATTTGCCTTTTTTGTAGCAACATCAAATTGCTGGCTCATATTTAGCTTGTGATCCACGACAATTCCCAGATCCTTCTTGTCCGTAGTTTTGCTGAGGCAGGTTTTCCCCATCTTGTAACTGTGCAATGGTTTCTTTTTCTGATGTGCAGTTCTTTGTACTTCTTGTTGAAGTTCATTCTATTGCTTTAGGGCCAAGGCTCCAGCCCATCAAGCTCATTTTGAATTTTTTCTGTCTTCTAGTGCATTGGCTACTCCACCCAATTTTGTTATATTTGTAAATTTGATTAGCATTCCCTATATCTGCAATGACATCATTACTGAAAATGTTGAAGAGCACCTGGCCCAGGGCTGAGCCTTGGAATACCTCACTTGTGACCTCATCCTAGTGTGAGAAGGAGTCATTAATCATCCTCCTCTGAGTATGATTTTGTAGCCAAATATGTATCCACCTGACACTATCTAGGAAGGCCACACCTAGTAAGCTTGCTAATCAGGACCTCATGGGGCACATGCTCAAAAACTTTACTCTATTTAACATAGAATATGTCTAGAGTATTCCCTCTGTCTATCAGGGAGCTTGTTTGTTCAGTTGTTCAGTTTTCTCTGACTCTTTGTGACCCTTGCCACAAAGAGTGGGGTCCGCAGCTTGGGGATTCATCTGGACCCAGCACTCACCATGGAGACTCAGGTGATGTTGGTGGTCCATACTACCATCTTCCATCTGTGGCAGATAGCCCGGCTGCGACCCTATCTCTATACAGGGTCACTCACTACCATGGTACATGTGCTTGTAATCTAGAGATTAGACCACTGCAATGCGCTCTATGTGATGCTGCCTTTGAGGTTGACGCTAAGAAAGTCTTTGTGAAAAACTATAAGGAAAATTCCAATAGTAAGGAAACTAAAATAAAAGATATTCACAAAGATTATATTGAAAAATCTAATGAGAGTTTCAATCCACTGACCTGTGAACATAGAGATATGTCTATAATTGAAAAGGGTTGGAACTGAATAAAACATGTTATGGGTGGTTTCATATATACACGCTCACAAGGAAGTCAGAAAGCACCCACTACAGCAACAGAAGAAAGTTGGGGGGAAAAGTTTCCTGGAGGGTTAAATTAATAAGAGGGTTGTAAGATTATGGAAAAACCCAAGGAAAAGGAGTTTTGCCCAGGAGCAAAAGGAGAACAATAATTTGGAGGGTTGTTTAAAAGTGTCTGAAAATTGCACTCTATTTCCTGAAAATACTGAGAGAATCTGTATGGACAAAGATCTTTTAACGAAAGAAAAGTCCTTAGCAATGACAGAAACTAGCTTAAAATTAAATCCTGGAAAAGAGAAAAACTTACACGAGGTTCAGGAAACATCATGTTGGCCTGAGGTTGTGAAAATGAAATTTTTAGAGAGATGTAAATTTCATTTAGCAGAAGTAAAGCATGCTGCTTATATACCGCCTCATATCGCTTCAAGCACTCTCTGGGCGGTTTACAATTTAATTATGCAGGCTACACATTGCCTCCCCAGCAAGCTGGGTACTCATTTTACCGACCTCGGAAGGATAGAAGGCTGAGTCAACCTTGAGGCGGCTACCTGGGATTTGAACCCCAGGTCATGAACACAGTTTTAGCTGCAGTACAGTGGTTTAACCACTGTGCCACGAGTACCTAGAAAGAAACTAGGTGAATTTATGGGCGAGAAGAAAGGCGTAAACCTTGAATTTGTAAATAAAGACAAATCCAGGGATGTAAAAGAGGGTAGGAGAGTAGTTCATGTTAACATGATGAAGCTGAACTATAGAAAAGAGAACATGGTCCTAAACCGAATGAAAGAAGAGACTAGGAGGAAATATGAATTGAAATATTGGGAAGGAAGAGGTGTACTCTATGTTAGACTTCAAGGAGTATTAAGTAAATTTATTCTAGCCATAGAAAAATTAAAAGAAGCTAGAGTAAAAGATGTGATAAGGATGGCAGGATATACTCATCACTGGGAAACAAAGTCCAGAGATAAAGCCTCTCTTTTAGGAAAAAAGCTAAAAGATAAGATGCAGTGGTCAAGCAGATGTAAAGAGACTAGAAAAGTTGCAGGCTACATTAGAGAAAGGTCATAGTATCCAGAGAGGTCATCATATCCAGAGACGTCTTCGTGTCCGGAGAGGTCGTGTTGTGAGAGGTCCAGAGTTCCGGAGTGACTTCACTATCATAGCTGATGTGTCAGGATTCGAACTAGGAGCCATGCTGAGCCAAGCGGACAACAAGAAAGACCGAGCAGGTGAGAGACATTTAATTGACAACTGGAAGATTGACGATTGATTGGACATTGCGAAGATTGAAACCCTATGTGAAGTTACAAACTGTGAAATATAAAACCAATAAACTTGCAAGAGGGAGACTGACAGAATTAGTGGAATTACCAAGTGTTACCCAGGGGTCATAATCAGCAGAGCTTCCCAGTGATGTGTAGACACAAGCACCAAACAGTCTTGATAGTAGAATACTTGTATTATTTACAGGATGTTTACAGGTATATACAGCTTAGTCCTTGTTCCAGCTCCAGTAGTCATACACGGCAGTTCCACAGAGTTACAGAGTTTAAATCAGTGTCAGAGTCTAGTAAATAGTCATATACCATGCAGTCATTCCGGCTTTCCCAGAGTACCACTTCACCCAAGCACGTAGGTACAGCTTCCACAGGATTCTCAGGCACAGCTCCAAGACGACAGCACTCCACGACCACAGCAACATCCACAACAACCCACAATGGTGTATGCTAGGTCTCCCAGCTTTATCCCAGGGATAGCCAATCCTGGGATGTTCATACTGCTGGTACAATTCCCACAGCTGTATTAACTCTAGTTATACTTCTCTTTACAGCAGTGATCCTTACAATTACTTATGTCTTGGTTCCAAATTGCATTTAACAAGTTCCAGGTTTAGCCCAAACCTGACAATCTCCTCCAAATTGTTAAATGCTTGCATATATGTACACTTTAAATTGTTTTTGCATTATTACACATTACATTACATTTTACATTCATTTCATACCCAACATTTTACATGCATTCTCATGTTTGATTGGTCCTAGTACTTTTGTTAAAGAGTCTGCTATGTTCTTCTCAGTCTCACAATAAATTAGTTTGATCAGACCATTTTCTACACTTTCTTTTACATTCTGGTATCGAATGTCTGTGTGTTTTGACCTGCTCCTTATGTTTGGTGAATTTATCATATGAATTACAGCCTGGTTATCTTCATTTATGGGTATTGGCTCCTTTAAATCCGTTCCTAGATCCTGGGCTAACTGTTCGTAATATATGAGGTCTGTACAGAGTTCAGACAGTGATGCATACTCTGATTCTGCTGATGAAAGTGATATAAATTTCTGTCTTGCTGTTTCCCAGTTTACAATGCGTTCACCCAAATGCACAGTCATACCTGACGTGGATCTCCTTGTTACAATGTCATTGCCATAATTTGCGTCTGCATATGCTGTAATTGTTAGTTCTCCCTTGGGCTCTAAATACAACTCTTCGTTTTGGGCTTCCTTTAAATATCTTAATACCCTTTTAGCAGCTTGCCAGTGCTTCTCACTTGGCTTGCTTACATTCCTGGCCAACAAATTCACCACAATCGAACTATCTGGTCTAGACCATCTGCTTAAATATAGCAGACTACCTATTAATGATCTGTACAATTCACTCTTACAATCAGGACCTGTAACATTTTCCTTTTCAAATTCAATATTCATAGGAGTTTTAGCACCCTTACAATCTTCCATTTTATACTGTTTTAACAACTTTGCCTGGAATTTAACATTGGTGAATTCTGTACCATTATCAGTCTGAATCTGCTTCAATTTCTTGCCTGTTTTTCTCTCAACAAATTTCAACCATTTCTCAGATTCTATGTATGTTGACCCTTTGTCTTTCATTAAATAACACGATCCAAACCTTGACTTTTGGTCTTGAATTGAATGTATTTTGTTCCTCCCAAAGATGCTCTTTTAGGGCCTATTACATCTATTGACACTAAGTCTAGAATGTTGCCAACTTCTATGTTACTATGTTTCTTTACAGGAGCACATTTACTTTTTGCTTCTTGGCAGGCTTGGAGATTAATGTATTTCTCACATTTCCTTAAATTCACTCCAGTTGAATTCTCTATTGCTTTATGTAATGCCTTATAATTTGCATGTCCCAACCTTAAATCCCACAAATGTATGCATTCTTTATGAGCTTTTACATTCTCATAAACATTGTTTGCCTTAGCACTACTCAGCCTATATAGGTTGTTTCTTACATGACCTGTTAGTTTTTCATTCTTTTTTCCATTAATAACTCACTTGTTCCTATAGAATGTGCTTGTAAATCCCTCTTTTGCTAATTGGCTAACTGACAATAAATTGTGTTTTAACTTTGGCACATACAATACCTCCACTGGCATCTTTAGACATGGTAATTTTACTTTACCTTTACCCATGATTTTTGCACTTACTCCATCAGCCAACATTACTTGCTGATCACACACTGCTTTAAAATTGGATTTCAGCTTTTTATCTTTGCACATGTTCGCTGTTGCCCCTGAGTCTACTATCCATTCTTCTTCTTGGTGGTTGTTTATAAATAGTCTCTGACAGGTTTGTTGCAACTTTCTCACATTGTGGTAGTTTTCTTTCCTTCTTAAATTTGCAATCTTTGGTGAGATGTCGTCTGGCCCCACAGGAAAAACATCTCCTCCCAGGTTGGATATTTGCAGCTGTGACATCCTCCTTCCCATTTACACTTGGTTTGTTTCTCACAGAGGTTTTGGAGTCACGTAGTTCCCGGTTGTCTTTCCTTTTCTGCTCCTCCTCCAGAAGTCTACTGGTTACATTTAACACTATTATTTCAGCTTGTGGTAGTACTTCCAAGTTTGCTACAAGCTGGTCATATGGCTCATCAAGTGAAGAGAGTATTATAAATGCTTCCTGAATTTCAGTAAATGTGACATTAAGTCCATCAGCATTGTTTTCATGTGCTCTAAATGTTGCAGCATGCTCTCACTAGTTTGCAATCTGGTACGAAATTGCCTTCTTGCAATTTGTATCTGGATACCAACGCTGACTCGTACAAAGAGTCCCCTCAGATTCTCCCATGCCTTTCTTGCTGAAGTCTGGCCTCTTATGTGGATTAGGAGACAATCTTCTAGAGTCAACCCGATTATTGCAAGTGCCTTGTCATTCTTTCTCTTTCCTCTAAGATTCAGCACAGCTGGTGGCTTTTCTATAATGTCCCATAGTGATTCCTTCTCGAGTAATAACTGGACTTTCTGCTGCCAGGTGGAGTAGTTATCTCCATTCAGCTTCCTGATAGACAGTCCTGACATTTGCAGCTCACTTGCCATTTTTCACAGACTGCAGGACAAAGCTGTTCTACTCACTTCTGCTGTCCTGTGAGGCAAGGACCCAAACATCGTCCAGCGAAATTGCCCATAGGAACAATCATTTTGTGAATCACAACATTGCTCATAAAAAGTCATTGTCTAGCGAATTCCTCATTTTGTGAGGCAATCGTCTAGCAGGGCAGCACTGTATTTTAAAAAATCTTTGTTTTTGTTATTTAGTGGATGAAAGGGTGAAA